GGTGATGGTGGTAGTTGAAGTCGTGGTCGACAGTCGGGGCTGGTAGCTGCTGTGCGAACTGCAGAGTCTGTGCGCGCGTCGCTGCAAAGGAAAATCAAAAGCGATTCCGCATGGGCGGCTGCAATAGCAGGCCCATCCCAAGAGCACTATTATTTAAGTAAGCGGAGGGCATAGAGAGACGAGGGTAGCAATAGCGTAGCCATACTTGCTCCTGGAGCGGCCCTTGACGCGAGTCCGTGGTATATACTATCTATTTGAGAGGCATTGCAGTAGATATTGTTAAGAAAGATGCGCTCTAGATAGGTTCCTCTTACTCTTTGCATTCGCACCTGCGTCTTGGCAATAGCTAGGGGAACGAGGGAGGAAGCAGCTATCTTTCACACAAAGGAGCAATTATACGCTATACCGTAATAGGTGGCGCCATGGTCAAGTCCACCGATCTAGGCCAAAAAGAGGAGCGAAAAGGGGGTCGGATCCAGCGCGATGCCCAATCGAGACGAACAAGGCCTGACCCGCAGCAGTCGCAGGGAGATAGGCCGCAGACCTCGACACCTCAACTACGCCTCACACCAGAGAACCTACGTCCGTACCGCAAACACATTCCATATGGAATCATGGCCCAAGAGACAATAAAGGAGTACATCTAGCCCCATGCATTCCTTTCGGCAGGCGGAGCAGGAATCATATATATGATTGATGATAACAGAGTTTTGAAGACCTATTACGGCAAGGGAATTGATGTTGAACTTTAAACATTTGAACGTCTAGGATCTTATAAAAATATTGTAAAATGTTTTAGTGCAACAAAAGACGGTCTTATTCTTGAGCGCGGGCAGCCGCTTCGGACGGTAATTCAGGCAAGCGAACTGGACAAGATCCCTCTAGATACAAGAATTTGCTGGCTACGGGAAGCTGCAGAAGGAACCCAATATATGCATGATAACAAAATAATTCATGCTGATGTTGGATGCAATAATTGGGTGCTGGTTGGAGAGCATTTGAAGATTATTGACTTTGAAGGTTGCAGCATTGATGGAGAAGATGCAGGAGCATGCTATGAGTGGTTCAGTTACAAGGGACCGGTGATAAGCCGAAAGACCGATATCTTTGCTTTCGGCTGTGCGATCTACGAAGTTATGACAGGTAAGCTGCCATACAAGGAGCTTTTGGAATTTGAGAATCCAATGTTACGCGCCAGGGAGCTATATTCACAGAACCAATTCCCGGAGGTTGAAAAGATACCGTTGGGTAGTTTGATGCAGGGTTGTTGGCAGGGTACTCTCAATTCTATGCGCGAAATTCTTCAAGAACTTGAAGGTGTGATAGCTGGGTCTTCGCCACAAGAATGAGGTGATGGTGCATACTACTCTCGAGGGGATAGTAGTGGATAATAGAATAATATTGCACACTAGTTTAAGGTGCTACAACTCCGTTATCCCTTTGCTGAACCCTCTTAAGTGCTATACAGTAAGATCATACTATTATGCGATTAATTATGCACAAACCGTGAACAGCTTACATCCTCATAACGCGCGTCTCCAACTGATGCACACGAGTCCCGACAGAATTTGCACGGCGCGTTTCGGGTCGAAGGTAGGTGCGTACGAAGAGTTGCATCATATGTAGAGTTCGCGCATCGTGGTCCAGGCTTGGGAGAAGCTTCACACCTCTGATGGAGACGTTTTGTGATCCTGTGTTGAGTTGGTCTTTAACATTGCACGTAAATAATGTCTGCTGTAGTGTAGCGACACAGGCTAACAAGACGTGAGAGCGGGGTGTTGCTGTGCAGTCTAGGCTCTTAAGAGACCAGCACTCGGCTTAAATAGGCTCTCTCAATAACTACCTCGCGAATATAGAAGGATCCCACAGCAACAAGCAGTCCCACGGAATCCGCGTAAAACGATCTGGAACCGACGTTTCGAATTACTTTGACGGCAGCTGCAGGAGAAGCTTCATATGAAGCGTTGTAAAC